AACCCTAAACCCTAAACCTTCCCGAGCCATGGCGCATGCTGCCCTTTGAAGGTGCCAGCGCTCATCAGGTCGCCTGAGCTGGGAAGGAAACGTCCCCTTTCCTATGGGAAGTGATGTAGACTGTTCTGAGTTTATGGGGCTTATAAGGTTTAGGTTCAGGGTTTCGTATTTCGGCTTCATGGGGTTTGAGGGTTTAGGGTTTGGGGTGTCTGCCTAGACGCTAAACCTGAAAAGCGGTAGCAAAGTGTTGTTTTTAGGACCCGCCCGCTTCCGGGCACGGTACGCTGTCTCTCGGGCCGCATACCACGCTGAAGAGTTATGTAACGTAATCTTGAGCCTTACTAGGGCTTACCGTGTTTACCCCAAGGCTCTTTTTGCTGTTATTGGCTTTCTAGTGGAAGGTTTGGGCTTTGGGGGCTGAGGTTTGGGCTTTCACTATGGGGGTCCATGAGCCTTAGGGTAAGGCCTGGCTTCCAAGAGTGGGGATGTAGGATTTGGGGCTTAGGGTTTGGGGTTTCAAGAGTTGCAGGCTTGCCGGTATGCCCTGAACCCTCAACGTGCAAAGCCCTATTGATAGATCCCATACAACAACCTTGATGCAACAACCTTTAAATGAAGCTTACCCATAGGCCCCATAGTAGTTCCTTTTTGCAGCTTATATTCAGCATCCTATTAGGTAATCTCAAAAAGGAACTACCATGGTGCCTCTAAGGGTCACGCCAAGCCCCAAAACCCAAAACCCTAAACCTTAAACCCTAAACCCGACACCCTAAACCCTAAACCCTAAAGCCCTAAGCAAGGAACCGCTCTTGCTGGCGAGCCTTGCAAGGACTACGCCTCGGTCGTATGAAGGATCACGCCGTCCTACAGAATGTTACCTCAAAGTATAGGGGCTTATAGGGCTTAGGGTTTTAGGGTTTAGGGTTTAGGGTTTCAGGGTTTAGGGTTTAGGGTTTAGGGTTTAGGGCTTGATGACTATCATCATTATCAAATTCAGATTTAAGTATGGAAGGGGGATTGCCAAATCCGGTGTCTGTTTCATTAGATTAGGGCTGCAAGGCTTTCAAGACGCAGACCTATCCACCTACGGCACCCTACGTCCTACCCTCTCGCAGAGTTCAGCTTCACTGTCTTAAACAAAAAGCTGTATGCAATATCAGCTCCCGATTAAACCGATGAAGCTGGTCACCTTCCGTCTTGTCCTTCTTGGACTTGGCCTTCTAGGACTTGACCTTGGACTTCTCCTTGTCCCGCCTGGACTTCCTCTCCAGGAGCTCCCTCGCCGCCTTGCTCGCGGCCTCACGTCGCCGCGCGGCATCAGCTGAGGCAGCTTCCGAGCCGCGGAGTGCAGCCTGGCACCTTCCCGCCGCCTCCCGCTGTCGCCGCCACCATCCTCAGCATTTATAACGTTTTTTAGGACGTTACAGGATCCTGTTGCTAAATCTTAACTTGAAAAACTTAATATATCCGCTGAATTTCGGCGTAGCCTCGGGCTCCTTAAACCCTGAAGTTGCTATCAGCGATAGACGCCCTGAGTTTCGAATCCTTTCGCACTCTCTCCGTCTATGTTTGTTTATCGCATTTCTTGGGTAAGGTCCGCCACTGACTTCATGGAAATCGAAAACCCCAAACCCTGAACCCTTGAAAATACCCTAGACCCCTAACCCCTAAACCCTGAACCCTATACCCCTAAGCCCCTGAACTCTAAGCCCCTAAACCCCTAAGCCTCTGAACCCCAAGCCCCTAAAACCTAAGCCCCGAAAACCCTGGACCCGTGAGACCCTAAAGCTCCAAAACTCTAAGCCCCCAAAACCCTGACCCCAAACCCCAAACCCCTAAGCCCTAAACCCAAACCCCTAAGCCCCCTAACCCCAAACCCTAAACCCCCAAACCCCAAACCCTAAGCCCCCTAACCCCAAAAACTAACCCCAAACCCCCAAAACCGCTAAGTCCCCTAACCCCAAACCTTAACCCCAAAGCCCACAAAACCCTAACCCCAAACCCTAAGCCCCTAAACCCTAACCCCAAACCCCAAACCACTAAACCACAAGCCCCAAACCCGAAGCCCAAACCCCTAAACCCCAAGCCCCAAACCCTAAGCCCCCAAAACCCTAACCCCAAACCCTAACCCCCAAACCCTAATCCCAAACCCTAAGCCCCTAAACCCTTACCCCCAAAACCCTAAACCCCTAAGCCCCCAACACCCCCAAAACCCGAAACCCAAACGCCGTGGCGCAAGATGCAGCTGAGTCCTGCGAGAAGCCCAGATCCTGCCGAGGTCTACTATAGGGGCCTAAACAATTACCCATATCAACCCATACTATTAGGGTTTAGGGTTTAGGGTTTGGGGTTTGGGGTTTGGGGTTTTACGGTTTAGGGGTTTGGGGGTTCCTTATTATAGTTATTGTATAATGGGCCCCAAAACCCTATTCTACTTAGGGGGATGGCTGATGTCTGGTTCTGTCTTGGTTTAGGGCTTTAAGGTTTAAGGTTTNNAAAACCCTAAACCCTAAAGCTCTGCATGTTCAGCTGAAGGGCTGCAGAGTCTTCGGGGCTTGGGGGTTTTGCATAGGTCGGCGTTCTACAGACGGTCCAAGTAGTTCTCATTCATGTCTTTCGGTACTTCAGGGCCTTTGGGTTTAGGGTTTANNGGTTTGGGGGGTTAGGGTTTAGGGCTGTAAACCAATGCTTTTGGTTTGCCCTATGTATCCATAGTCTTGAATTCCACCTAAGACCCAGTCTGGTTGTTCATGAAACCATCGTTGTAGAACCCTCATAGAGCCCTTTCATGGAACCCCTTTTCTAGAAATCTTGCAGAACCCATTTGAAGAAATTGCCCGATGTCACAAGTATCTCTCACACCCCATGGAAGATGAGGTTTGAGATCACCCCAACGTCCTAAAAATCAATGAGTACCGCTGGGGCCTGAACAGCTAAGGTTTGGAGTAGGTTAGTTTAGATTTGACTAGGTTGATGACATAGAATAGATAATAGATACATAGCCAAGAGTAGAACCGAACAGAATGTCACGGAATGACTTTAAATAGAAGAGAACAGAATGGAATAGACTGGACCAGCCGTGACTAGAATCGAAACAAACAAACAAACAAACAAAAAAAAAAAAAAAGCAAACAAGCAATAAAAGTAATATAACAGGATACATTACATTCCACTATATGATACGATACTACATTGCATTCTATTACAAAAGGGCATTCAGGGTGGTCCTGTTTGTCATGTTATATTTGCACTTCACTACATATTCGTAATGTTATAACAACTCGCATTATACTAATATTTTACTAAAACAAGCTAAACTACGCCATCTTGTCCTAACCTACCCTATCCTGTGCTATGCCAAAACCACACTGCACTATGCTATACTATACCAGACAATTCCGTACTCTACGATTTGATACCATCCCTTAACCCTAAACCCTGAACCCCTAAACCCCTAAACCCTAACATGCTGTACTAAGCTACATCATGTTTCGGCAGATTCTGCTTTCTCTGCTTTGCCTGCAATGCAAGGCCAAGAGCTCGTGCAAGGCTTTCGCCTAGGCTGTAGAAGTGGAGGTTTAGGGTTTCGGGGTTTCGGGGTTAAGGGTTTCGGGGCTAGGGTTTAGGGTTTAGGGGTTTAGGGGTTTAGGGTTTAAGGGTTTAGGGTTTAGGGGCTTTGCAGGTTCCCGAAGGGTGTTTTGACCGTCTGGGAGGCCTTCACACCATCGCCAAGACTGCACAAAGACTTGGAGGTTTCCGAAAATAGGGGACCCTAATATAGTACTCTAAATAGTAGGATCCTTATTATAAGGACCCCAAAATAAGGTACCCCCCCCCCCTATTTTCGGAATGCCTAGATAATGATAGCCATACTTCTACCAGACCCCGGCTGCGTCGACTTTCCAGAACCAGCCATCATGTGCTTAAGGGTTGTAAGGGCCTTGGGCTTAGGGCTGGTCGGGTTTAGGATATAGGCCCGGCGCCAAGCAGGATTTAGTAGGCGACATCCTGGTCATTCACGATTTGCACATGCAGCCTTAACAAAGCCTTTCCAGGTCGTGATTCGCATCCCAGGGGCTGGGACGCTAAACCTAATACTTATGTTGAAGCACATAATGGGTCCGGACACTGGCTGCACGATGCCAAAGGATACATATTGATCCGCAAAGGTTGAGAATAGAGGCTGGGGCGGTTCGACAGGCAGGACCTAAACCCTAAACCCTAAACCCAGGACACCAAACCACTGGCATGGCCGCCGGGTCGCTGTACTTTGCACGAACTGCCTTGCCTGCCAGTGGCCATCCAGCTATTCTGCTTTTGGTTTTGTAAGTCAACACTCGAGACGCTCACGGAGATCTTCAGTATAATGCAGTACAATGACATATGAGAGCATTTCAGGGCTCAAGCCAGCGACATAATGTGCACGCCCAAGCCACTGCCCTTCCCCTATCTTCATGGGCTACTGCAGGTTGTTCTGCCCTCATCCGTCCCTGAAGTCTTTGTCAGTGTTTGTCGTCAGCAGATGTCAGAAGCACAACCACGGTGTAGTAAACAATCTTAAGGCGACCTCAACACAAATAAACAGCATCTCAGCCGAGACTGTATATCGGCTCTTCGTCACGGGGCCGCTCATCCCTTCTAGTGCCAGAACGAAAAGTGACCAACCAATCCCTTTCGTATGGCCGGTAAGTGGTCGGATCCGTGCAACAAAACTCATCAAGGGAGAGGGTAGATCATCAGGCATCTATAACACACCATAATGTACCATAATGTAACCAATCATACTATCATACACTAGAACATACAGTATACATAACCTGTATCAGAGAAGCTTCAGCTTCACCATCTTTTTCATGACAAAATCACTCTTCGACCTGACTACCCTAAACCCTAAACCCTAAAAGGTCACACGTATGTAAAAGGCCACGTGGGTTTTCGCAAGCAGCATATTATTCGAATGTGCTTTTCACCCGTGCCTGCCAGCAAATGTGAGCAATTTG